AAGCATTTCCAAACGATCACTACTATGGTAGCTGGAGATTTGCATTTTGACAATGGGATCGTGGTACTCATCGTGCATGGCACCATCATCAAACCTAAAGTATTTGCATGAGACTAGCATTTGTCACCGCAGAACATTTTCATTTCCGTACAGTATCGTCACCAGCGACGGCTATTCTTGCCAGGTATTTGGAATTCGATGCTACAAATCATTGTTGGCTACAAATTGGTGGTGGACTACGCTCGTCATGTTCGTTTTCTGCAGACTTTCCTGGATCTGTACCATTACTTGATTGATCGTTTGCTATATGTGCGTCAATGCACATGAGGTCCGGTATGCGACCTGTAGCATTCTCGTTTCCTGTTAAGTATACAGAACCTGGTCAAACTCGTGCAGGGACGTTTCACAGAATTGGATAGGAAAAGCCGTGCGTCCATGCGTGTCGGCATGTGGTTGTGAATGGTTCCCGACCCCGGGATGAACCCGAGCCCAGGATGGAGGATGCTAAGAATCTCCGGGCCATAGGCCTAAATCCCAAGGGCAGGTTCTGAGGGTCACCCTGTTCTCTTCCCCTCCTTTAAGGTCCCTCGAACCTTTGCGGATATGTTGTTGTGTGAACAGCCGACGCATGCATATGGATGCTTTGACTCAAGACTAATATCCAACGGAAAGCTGTAAAGAAGCAAACTGACCGTGCTCCGCTGTTGCAGGCGGTTGTGAGACAACGCAGACCACCCCTATTTACAACGACCCCTACTACACGGCTTTACAACGTCACCCCACGGGAATCGAACCCTAACTGCCTTGTCACTGACTTCGTGGATGGCTCGCCTGCTGGCACCTGTAAGTGTGGCGTGTTCCGTTCCTGCCGCTTCGATGTTTGATGCTTTCCAGGTGCTTCTTGGTGGCCGGAGTGGGGATGGTGGCACCTTTGCCCAGCCTTTAACGGAGGTGCACCACTGCAAAAGGACACGAGTGGTCGAAACACTTTCGCATGTGCGCTGGTTTGCGCCCCATCGTGTTGTTGTACAAAAGTCTTGGATGCAAAGGGCACTCATGTTCCCGAGGAGTGCTGGGGAGGCGCAACGAATTCAGCACCTCGGGGGCCGCGTGTGGCATGGCCGCCTAGGCCGAGAGAGCGATGGATGGCTGGGTCACACTGAGATAAAATGAGATCTGCAGCATGTAATGACAGAGCACATGCGCACATGCAAGAAGCATGCAGGCCATCCAAAGATTAGTCCGCAGGCAGGACTTGTTGCTTCGCATGTGTGTCATATGCAGCCCAGCCCCCCCACCCCCCCCAGCTCCCCACCCCCCTCCCCTCCCCGTGGCGCAAATAGGGCCCAATCGATCTCTAAATATCCCGTACAACCAGTAGGAATGACGGAGCAATCAAGTGCTCCGTGTAGTGACTGAAAGCCACTGCGTGCGGGATGCGCAACAGAGCATCAATCATGCTATGCGTTCCACACGCAGTGTATCGTGGCAAGCAATGTGCAAGGCTTCCTATATTGCTAAAAGGGACTTGATTTACTTGGATTACCGTAAACCGCTATTGCGTTCCGTGCATTCTGCTTGATGGACACTGGTTCGACAGTTCACCAGTCACACCAGTTCCACTCATTGTAGCGAGAATAGGATGAACGGGCGCCCCAGCCTCTGGCGTCTTGTCACTCCCGACCGCGGAGCTGGGCCTAGTCGCTTCAGCTGCGCATACTGCCGGTGCTGCGCCTCCTGTTGCCGCTGGTCGAACACGTTGAACTCGGGCGTGCTCTCGGACACGCTCATCGCGCGCAGTTGTACCTGCGCTCGCGCGCGCTTCCGTTCTTGTCAGAGGTGTGCCGGATGTAGCAGACAAGCGGGCGGTGATAGTCACAGTCGCGTTCTCCGAGCCGAAGATCCAATGGCTCGAGATACGGTGCAATGACCGTAAGAACACGTGGAAATTCGCTAGTGCGAAGCTGAGACCTTTGCAAGACAGCGGCCGGAGTCTTGCCCCAATGAAGGGCGTGTCCAATATGGCCGGCTTCGGGATGAATGGCGCCCCGAAAAATGAGCTGCTTAGGTATGGATCTATTCCGATGAAGGATATCACATGAGGTAGAAGACCAAATAGGAAAATAGCAGCGTTTTGTTTCCAATAAAGCAAATATCTTTTCTTCTGCTTTGTGAGAGAGCAAGCCATATACACCAGGCTTGAGTCAACGGCGATGGTGAATCGCACACGCGTGGACCTGTAGAAAAGCGCAGACAAAACAAGAAACAGCCTCCCCACTCCCGATAAAGCCAAATGTTGCCTTTAATGTTTCTCGCGCGTTGGCGGACGACAGCGCCTGTGCGACTCTCAGGTGCTTTCCCTGTCAGTGTCTAGGGCCATTGGGGACCTCTTCTTCAAAGACGAGAAGTGCGACCGCTGCGACCAGCTCAAGCTTTAAGTGAGTTGGGCTGTCCCCAAGGTTCACTGGCGGGGTGGCGTCTGGCCTCACAGCAGACCCCTACATCAGCTCGGCCGAGGAGTGGCGCGGGCGAGAGACAAGATCCAGAAAGTTCATAGGTCGAGATCCGTGGGTCGTTGCTTGAGTTGTCCTCATGTGGCGTTGGCAAAGTTTTGGCAAACAAGTGCTGTTCCTCAGCCAGTTCCAGCAGTTTCCAGCTTTCGTGCGTTTGCAAAACCAATCAGGGCTGGCAGTCTGACAGTGCGGGAAACGCGCGCGCCCTGAACTCAACGCAGCCTGAACTACGACGGGCGCACGGGTGCAAGTTGCATGTTGCTGGGGCGCACGTGCGCAGGTCTGCCGCGGCAGACTGGTGCACGAGTTCTTGCTCATCGGCTGCGACGGGCTGTGGGACACGGTCAGCTACGAGGAGGCGCCCTGAAACACGCAAGGGAGAAATTTGGAAGCGCTTTACTTGACCCAAACAGCACAGCCTAGTCTCATGTTTCGAGGATTCGGCGCGCATTTTGAGAGCGCAAAGTGCACCTTCTGCGCACTTGCGGCTGGTCGAATCGCTCTCGCTGTGGCGCAGCGCGCGTTCTGCGACGAAGAGACATGGCGGGAGACTTTGTTTTTATTTCTCAGAAGTGTCGGTTGATTAGAAGCTCAGAAGTGTCGATCAGAAGTGTTGCTCAGAAGTATCAACCGCGAAACCAGCGTTTCAGGGCAAAACCCCTGCCCGTTTTTTTCGGGAGGGGGGGTAAATGCGCACTGCTTCATTGAGCCAAATCTTGACAATTGCAACCAGGAAGTAGGAACACTGAGCACATAGGCACACAGGGCCAAAGATGGATCAAGCTCCCTTAAAACCTTTCAACAAACCCAAGCCGGGCAGAGAACGAGTGTTATGGTATCCTATATGTCTATCTGTATCTATTTGTCTACGTCTCTATTTATCTATCTATCTATCTATCTATCCATCCATCCATCTATCGTTGTATTTATCTATCTGTATGTTGTCGTATTTGTCTATCTATCCAGCAATCTACCACCATCCTTTCCCAGGTGTCAATTCATCATAAACAGCAGCTTCATTCTTCGTCTTGCTACTTTTGTTCTTGCTGCAGCAGCAGGTGATCCTAATTGTGCTAGTGCTTTTCTTCGTGGTGCCTTTTGATTTCGGTGTTGTTTTAGGTGATTTCTTTGCTGTTCTTGATCGAGCGGTCTACCTAGCTATCTACCTTTCCTATGCGTTCTATATCTATGCTCCTGTCTCCAAACACTCGCTTGTCGAAGCTACGTGCGACCCTTCAAATTATGGCGCCGGCCAAGAAATCGGTGTGCTCCAAAGTGCTGCGCCTGCCACGAAATCCGCGCGTGACCCTCCAACATAGCGCGCTTGTCACGCAGATCAGCGCTGCGCTTGCCACGAAACTTGCGCGTTGCTCCAAATGCATCGCCTGCCAGGAAACCTGCGCCGAAGCGCCAATTGACAGGTTTCACGCCCGCCGAATGAGCTGATTGCGCAAAAGGGCAAGCCAAAATTACCCTCGGGCAAACACTTGCGCGTGCCTGCCAAGCACGACGCCACCCTGAAACGCAAATCGCAGCGGCGGGGCAACGTTGCAACAGACACGGGAAGCAGCCAGCGGCTCCATCGGACCTGTCACGCGTGGCTGTTACTTTAAAAGTAAACAGTGTGGCAGCCATACCGCGGTGCCTCCGCAGACTCAGTGCAAAGTGCCCAGCGTGTTGGTCCAGCAACCCAGCCGCGCATGTTACGATGTAGGGGAACTAGCAAGCTAAGCAATGAACGAGTTAACAAACTAATTGTTCCGGCTGCGCTGAAGCACCATCGTAATGTCGCGTCTTGTTAGTTCTTCATCGCTCCCAGATGTAAAACCCGATTGGTTGACTTGTTCTGGGTGGACAGGCTGCCCTCGTGTTTGTGTGGCGCTTACTTTTGGTTTTTTGCCCCCCTTGTGGGCTTTTCGGCAAAATGATCTACAGGGTCGCGGCTTGGTTGGTTTGTGAATAGCTTCACTTGGCTGAACTAGCTCAGTACTGCGGGATTTGTTGGCGGTGTTTTCTTGGACTCTGCGGGAGTTGTTCATGTCGTGATATATTTCTTGAGGTCCATCTTGTCGTTTTGTCACGGCGCTGGACGCAGTGGCTTCACCGTACACTGCTGCCAGAGAAATTTAGGTTTTCAAGCGCTGACTTTGAACTCGAGATTGCCTTCGGTTGTGTGAACTTGCGTTGAGTGTTGGGTGCACATAAAGCGGGATAGCGTACACAGAACAGGGTGCGCCGAATGAATTCGGGAAGGACCTTGGCTGGTGCAAAAAATTAGAGCCTCCGGCTCACTCCGCCAACATTGGCCTCTCCCTTGTCTCTTCCGTCTCTCTCTCTCTTTGTTCCCTCGTCCTTTCTCCTTCTCTCTCTCTCCTCCCCATCCTCCCTCTCTCTCTCTGTCCTCTTCATCCTCCCTCCCTCTCTCTCTCTCTCCTCTTCATCCTCCCTCCCTCCCTCCCCCTCTCTCTCTCTCTCTCTCTCTCTCTCTCTCTCTCTCTCTCTCTCTCTCTCTCTCTCTCTCTCTCTCTCTCTCTCTCTCTCTCTCTCTCTCTCTCTCTCTCTCTCTCCTCCCCATCCTCCCTCTCTCTCACTCTCTCCTCCCCATCCTCCCTCTCTCTCACTCTTTTCTAGATTCCCTCTCTCCCTCCTCTCTATGCCTCTCTTTCTCTCTCTCCCTCCTTTGTATGCCTCTCTTTCTCTCTCTTTCCTTTCTATGCCCTCTCTTTCTCTACCTCTTCGCCATGCTTCCCTCCTCTCTATTTCTCTACCTCCGTCGCTGCCTCTCTCTGTCTCCTCTTCTCTCTGCCCCTCCTCTCTCCGCCTCCCCCTGTCTCTGTCTCTATCTCTTTCTCTGTCACTGTCTCTCTCTCTGTTTGCATTGCAGCGTCATGTCTCCTGAATTATCTTCTTACTACTGGCTTTCCGCTTGATTTCCTTGTGTCCCGTCATTTCTTATGATTTCCTCGTCATGTCCCGTTCCCTTCCTTTCAACTCCTCCTTCATTTCCCTGTTATTTTATCGGCATTTCGCCTCACTTTCCTGTCATTTTCCACTTCCTGTCCCTGCATGTCCTTGCATTTCCCTTTATTTCCATTCATGTCCCCTTTATGCCCCCTTATTTGACCCTTCACTTCCCTTGCATTTCCTACAGAACAAACACGCTAGTTTTCAACGTTTTCGTAAAAAGGTCAAAATACAGGGTTTTTCTAGGTTTGCCACACCGGCTCCCCGAAGACTATTTGTAGTAGAGCGCGAGGACGGGGGGGACGGAGTTATCCTCTATCCTTTAGGTGTTGCCCATACGGCCCAGTCTCGCTGTCCAGGCAGCAAACCTTGTTCTTGAGCGCCTGAGCGATGGCGAGGAGCCCCAGGTCATCAGTGAGGCGCGATCCGCGCGATCCGACCGCTCGGTTCGAGCGCACGCCTCTAGACCGCAAGGCGCTGGTGCGCGTGGCCCGTGATGCGGGATCCATGGACAACATCACAGTGATGGTGGTGGCCTTTTGAGAGGGCCTCCATCTTGACCATCTTGACCTTCGCGCTTCCTTGAGACAAAATCCACAGTCTTTTTTGCCGCAACGCGTTTTGCCTTGGAGTGGCTCACAGTTCGGAGCGGGCGCTGGGTTGATTGCCTCCTTTTCGTGTTCCTTGCGTGTTTTTCCGACTTGGCAACTTTCTGACAATCTCAACTCAGAAGCACCAGGTGGCCATGTACACAGTGTTGAAACCGCTGCACCATGTTGAGCAGCTCATGCAAAGTGACGAGCAGTTTGCGCGCCACGTCCATGCACACTTGTTCGGCGCGGAGGGTGTCCCTGTCTTGTGACACTTGGCATGTGTGCAAATTTTGTTGGGCTGCAAACGTGCGTGTGTGTGTGTATGACAAGGTTGCGAAGGAGGAGGGGGAAACTCAGATCCAACAACACAAAGCCAAACGTGCGTTCTGATTGAAACAGGATACGACCTTCCGTCGTACGTTGTGCTGTTGCGTCTCTGCCAAAGCGGTCAAAGAGAAAGTCAGCATTGTGTAGAGTTGCTCCGGTTTAGCTTGAGCGTGATATTCCTGTAGTTCATCGTCTTGCCACTTAAACTAACTTGGACCTCCGTAGCCTGAGCAAATCAAGTATCAACTGCGTTGCATGCTAGTTAAAGTTCAAGAGCAACAGGAAGAACAACCGTTTTACACACTCGAACGTAGGACAAGTGCAAAGTCTCTCACTTTGCCTGAAGGGGGCACGCAGCCTTTGTCTCCATGAAGTCATATTTGTCTTTCTCCGAGAACAGTTGGTCTTTCTCCATGATTCAGGCTGGTCTCAGTTGGGCACTTGTGTACTTTATGTTTGCGCAAGCGGGTTGCCTTCAGCAGGGCGCTGTTCTGGTTCAGGGCCACGCAAGAGGAACTCGCAATGTTGGCAATGTTTATTTGTTGGCGGCAGACACGCTCGCAAATCCTTGTGTCTGCAGAAATCCTTGCATCAGAAAACATTCCGAAACATGTAGCCGCACATATTCGAGTTCTGCAAAAGCCTCGTGGCCCCTCATTCCCATGATCCGCCATGGCATATGCCTCGCCGACAGCTGAGATCGCGTTCGTGTCCCAGTCCACAGGTCCACAGTCAAAAGCTTCGGGCCCGTTCGGGCTTTCACTGGCGCGAAAGAAATCGGTTAGGTGTTCAGCTTCGGGCCAAAAGGTCCAGGATGTTTCATTCATCCCAGCCACCCGCTCCCTATGGAGTTTTGCCCAGCTATGTTTGGGGAGGTCCTACTGAGGTGGGGTCTGTGGGTCATGTCTGGGTGGTCAGGCGTTTCTTAGCGCAATTTTCTGCATTTTGATCAGGGAGAGAAAAGAAAAAAAACGCCATCAAATCAGGTGGGCTAAGCAACTCGCGTCAACGTGTTGGTGACCCCTTCATTGTTCGGCTCGCCGAGCTGGCTGCGTGTGGCTCTCTTTTACAAGACAGCTTTGCGCGACGGTGGATCGAGAGCAGCGCTGGCGTGCATGCGGTGTGTCGGTGCGGTGCGTTGGCGCATGTTCCTTCACTCATGCGCTGGCGCTGGTGCTGGCCCTCCTTGCTGTCGCCTGCGCAGAGCTGCGCAGCTTTGGGTTGGTGCTAGGGCTTGACTTCTAGCGGCATGCCCTCTTCAGTGGAACTGTTCTTTGATGTGGACGAGATTGTGTCAGGACTAGACAAGGCCCCTTCAATACTCTCGCAGCAGTTTTTGCCCAAGCAAAAGGGTGTCGAAATACACAACCCTTTCACGCACCCCCCCGCTGGCGACTCAGTTTGGCCGCGTTGGAGAGGGAGTTGGGTGAAGCAGCAAAGGCAGCAGCGATGTTGTTTGTTATAGAACGACAAAGTCAACAAAAGTAGCTATCAGCAAAAGCACAGCTTTCACTGACTACTATACTGATGAAAGAGAAGAGCAGCCACAGTAGAAAATGATCAGCTTATAGCTCACGCACTAAGCGTTGAAGTTGATAGAATGTTAAATTTGGGGATACAGAGATACATTTGTACCTGCGCAAGCATGTGAGTGCAGCGCGGCAAGCGTACTACTTTTCCAATGCTGTAGGCTCAAGGCCTTGGGTTGTAAGTCGAAACTAAAAGTCAACTGTTCTACACAACATTACACAACTGTGTTCCAACTGTGTTCCAATTGCACCACATGTGTCCGGAGTGCCATCGAGGCAAGATGTCACACAAAACTGTTGATGTAGATCATTGTCTACGTCCTCATGCGCTTCTGTCTGTAGAGGATGTACTTGATGTAGTCAGCCCCTTTCTGTTCTCATGGATCTTGTTGATGTACTCGTGAGGTAAGACGCATGTTCGCTGTACCCTCTCATTTGTTCCAACGATTTTGCGAGCTTGTAGTACGAAACCGCGCTTGCTCATCCTTTGCGATCACAGATGTCAACCCTCTGCGGGCTCATGTAGCGAAGAGCTGGCCCGCAATCACTGTGTCCTTTTCCTGTGTGTTCTCAATATCGTCCACTTTGATCACCGCGTTGTTGTGGAGATAGCCCATTTCCAAAGTATAGAGGTTGTAGATGTTGAATGTGCTGTGCGTAGCACGCCAGGCCATGATGGTGTCGCGTTCCATTGCCATGTTGCATCGGAATACATCTGCACTTGCTGCAACATGTGTCTCCCGTAAGATTTCTTAGGGCCATTCGAAGACGCAAATTGTGTCTCTATCTAAGACAGTGGTTGGGCGCAGCTTCGCGTGCAACTGCGAACCACCAAGTGCTACGGCGGACCGCTGCCATCATTTGTAGCGGACCGGGGCAGCTGCCATCTATAGTAGACCGCTGTCTACAGCGGCCACGGCCGTCTATGGACCGCCGTCTACAGCGACCGCCCGACGCGCGCGATGCACGCGTGCTTAGGACGCAGAGGCGAAAGCGTGTTAAATCTCCGCAGCTGCGCTCCCGCCAGACATCGAGACATCGTGAATTGAAAGCAGAGAAAGCAGAGAAAAGTAGTACAAAAGCACGCCGTTTCATCTAAGCAAATAGCGCAGAGTGTAAAAGCGGCCGCGAAGCATCCTCACACTCTGCACCGTCGACATCAACAAGGCCAGGACGTCAGCCGCCAGCAACCCACCCGTCTACCCACAATGCCCGCAGGCACGCGCAGACACACAGAAGCAACCAGACACGAACAGACACGCGAGTCTGCCCGGACACACGCTGCCCGCAAACAGAGTAATACTTCTGGCCCGCAGACAGGAAGCGTTGCTCAACCAGCTCGCTTGAAACGAGCAGCGCTCGCACACTCATGCGTTTACGAGAGTATTTGCTAAAGCAACCCCCGAAGTTGTTGAAGGTGCAACATGGCAGTATGTCAATATGGCGAAGGGAAACTGCGCTTTCGCTGCAGGAGACATGAGCCTGGATCGCCTGGATGCCAAGACTGCGGGACAGCTAGCGGAGCTTTTAGTGTCGCTTCGTGTCCGTGCAACCGGGCACTGCTTGCAGGACTCCTTCAGTACCTGCTGCTCAGCCGCAGTCACAAGTTTCAGAGGGTCCAGGTTGTGGCAGTTAGTATCGGCGTCGGTGACACCGTTTGCGCCTTGCATTGCTCGTGCTTTGCAGCGTGCAAGCACCGCCTCTATAGCCTCTTGGAATGTCCACAATAAGATTGTGGAGGTTGCGCTGCTGAGGAGGGACCTGGGAGATGCGGAAAGTCGTTTTGCAGGTAGCAATTCAAAAGATGCGCAGAATGTTTGTGCATCTTACTTTTCAACGAGTTCATTGCTGCCGGCACTCACATGTGGCAGAAGCAGGAATGTCCAAAGGAAGGCCAGGAATGGGGGAAATTCTCAGAAGGCTCCTGCCAATCATTCCAGCAAAAAAGAAGCTACCCAAGTGCTTCTGTGATCACGCAGTCTCTGACAGGCTCTTGCATTTCCTGCAAATCCTGGTCCATGTGAGCCGTTTGAGCCTCCCAGGAAGCGCAGGACCATCGATGTCGCCAGCGCATCTACCTTTGATTGCTTGGGCCTGGAGTTGTCGAGCCAGGTGCAACTCACAGATTGGAGAGCTGCTTGCGTGTTGCAACCTGGAGGCCTTTGGTGAAGACATTCTGAAGGAGAGAAGGTTGCGTTTGATGACCAAGGCAGCGCCCGTTCTTTTTATTCTCCAGCTGTGTTCAATGCTGATAGGATGCCAACGCGCATGCCAACGCGCATGCCAACGCGCATGCCAACGTGGATGCAGTGGGCTCCATGGCGAGCCAGGTGCCTTTTTGAGCTGAGAAACTGAGAAGCGACCCAAAAAGAGGTTCTCTTCGACTCCCTCGCGCTTGACGGGACCAGCTTCCAGCGGCGAAAGAACCGGTCTCAGCGCATCGCGGGCGGGCGCAGTACGCAGTGGCTACGGCGAGCTGAGGGCCCCGAGGGCCAAGATCTCCGACCCCGCGGCCTGGGCGGGGGCGCCAGGGGCGCCAGGCGCTGGCTTGCAACGACGCCTCCAACGCTCGCGTTGCAAGGCGGGCGTCGATCGCGAGCTTCGGATCCGCGGGGGTGTTCGGTCGCGTTGCCAGGCCACCATGTCTAGCGGTTCCACCAGCGAGGCAAGGGACGGGGAGGCAAGGGGAGACACCGATTTGAGAACAAGCTCAACGGAACTTGACCATTTCAAGCTCGACTTGGGAAAGCTGGGGGGGCTCTCAGTGGCCCCTAGCCAGGAAAGCAACAGGAAATCCGATCTTCCAGAGCTGGAAGCTGGAGAGGGACTTGAAGTTAGTGTGGGCCTTGCTCATCTGTTTTTGGTATCCTAGTGTAGCCCCCCCCCCTACGCAAAAACAGCATTTTTCAACCATGTTTTCACTATTCAAATTATCATCCTTATTCATTATGCATATTTCCACTCAAAGCATTTCATAACAGTCTCAACCTCAAATTCTTTCAAAAAGTCACATTTTTCCCATTTATTCCATCATTCATGTCATTGTTAGGATGCTGGAGTGGAAATAGGAGTATAGGGTAGTTCATAGGATATGGTTATTGGATGGTATAAAAGATGGGGAAGGTTAAGTTCATTCATTTCAAAGAATAAAATTTCAAACAAATAGCAAACAATAAATTTTCAAAAAGTAAATTTTCAACAAGTAAATTTTCAAAAAAACAATAAATTTTCCAAAAAAAAGTAAATGTTAAAAACTACAGTTTCACAAAAAATAATTTTTAAAGAATATTATTCCAAAAATTATGACAACATATTTTACAATATGTTTTATAATAAATTTTGTAGAAATATTATGGGCAAGGTTAGGTAGATAGAAAATACAAATTTCATAATACAATTCAATTATCATGACATGTGTATGGAAAGATGGGGAAGGTCCAGTGCGTTCAATCTAAGGTATTAAAGGTTTGATTTTGTGCATGTTTGCTGTTAGGTTCTGTTGTTGGTTTGTTTTCTGTTCTTTTTTGCTTTCTTTAGTTGCTTTGGCTTTTTCTCTACATTCCTTGCAAGTTTTGTAAACTATTTCTGTCATATTCACTCTATCATACATTTTATGAAAGTCTCTTCTGGGTTTTGCTTCATCACATCTACTACATGGATAGACCATAGTGCAACCCAATTCTTCTTCAGCATCCGAATGGCTCATAATATTATACTATATTATTATTTCTTTAAATACGTTATATACACGAAACAACCTTTAAGGTAATGTAATGTATGAACCATGTTTTTATTATAATTACACCATATAATATTTTACATGTTATAATTATACTATGAGTTCAACTTTATTAACTGTTTGTTCCAAATTCCATTTAGTTAGCGATACAGTGCCCTGTCTCGCATTTTGACACAAAAACCCCAGCCTTGGGAACTTTGTCAGGGAACTTTGTCAGACACTTCCCTATGCTTGGGAACTTGGTCAAGGAAGTGTTTTCCATCAACAACTGGGTAGTCTCTGTGGTGTTTGAATATGTTTCCCATTCCAAACCTTCCCACAATTCCTTGTACACAATGGTCGGGGTCTGAGCCTGTTCCGCTAAACATCTCCAATAAGTTCATTATTAAAGATATTTAGATAATATTCTCAATGAATAAATCCCTGTATCTTCATCATAGTCAATTTGATAAAATGTCATAGTGGAAGACTTCGGTTCTTTAATTTCTTTGTTATTAAGTTTACTTAAATAAATATTTCTTGTATTTTTATATTCGCCACCGGTTCGATCTACTTCTTTACTTTGATGACTGTCTGTTAATGGTTTCTTCTTTTCCATTTCTTGCAATATTTCCAAAATATTCTTATTCTGTTCTAAAACCTTTTTTAGTTGTTTAACAATGTTATCTAATCCTTCATCCATTTCTATATATACTATATTATAAAATACAACTTTTAAAACTAAATGTTTAAATTATGTTAAACCTACTCTTTAAATACTATTCTTTCATCAATTCACGTATAGTTTCCTGTGTTTCGTTATCACCATTATCTGATGGTGATGCATGCCTTCCCCATTTGGTAGCAATATTATGAACATCTGTTTCTAAGTTGATACTGTCTTTAGTTTTATCAATATTCATTTTCTTATCATTTTTACTTATTTTGAAACTTGTTGGAATACACGAGCATGTACAAATTCCTTTCTTTTGAATTTCTAATTCATTTTTCATTTCTAACATCTTTTTACACATTGGACAAGCAAACTCAATAACTGATGTTTCTTTAACAATTTCTTCTTTTTCTTCATCAGTCGAAGAAGCAACTGGTTCTGTCTTATTCTTTTTCATTCTTCCCATTTATATTAATATTTGCATTTTTTTTTGATATATTGTATTCCTAGTTTAATTAATTCTAATGAATAATAACAGCATTTCTTAATTTAATTATCAGTTATTATTACTTGTTCTATATTCTCTACTTCATCTATTATATCAATATACTCTGAATAACTTCTATCCATTAAAATAATTATTTGAACTTATTGTTTCATGCACGGTAGAATATTCGGAGGGCGCAGCAATGGAGTTTTCTTTGCACCGGACAACGCAAGCGAGGTTCAAACTAATTCAAACTAAGTAGTCTCAATGCTTACGATTGAAGTTGATGAAAGAGCCTGTTCTACCACGATAGACCCCATTCATATCATAGCAATGCTTTCATACAATAAACAATGTTAAGCTATTTTCTATATATCTTTAATATCAACCATGACCAATGTTCCAATAATAAAACCACAACTGAATATGAATTCAAACAATCTAAATATGAGCACGTGCCACAATTACCATTTAGAAGTATTATAGTTGCGAGTTCGACGGGAGGCAAAACAGTCTTGGTTCAGAACCTTATCTTAAATGTTTATAGAAATTCATTTGCAAGAATATTTGAATTTCCCCCAGCCTTCATAATGACCCAACCTTTACAGAAGTTCAAAAACATATATCAGGGATGAATTGCACGTGGATGATGAAGAAGAACAGATTTATTTTCTGGGCCTGCGGCCTCTAGCCGGCTACGCCTCTTTGAAGTTATACCATGTCATGTCATTTTTTTTGTATGAGAAACGTATCCTGTGCTATGATATGGCTGGTTAGGTTATGCATGTTGCCCACCCGAACCCCAGATGATGCCGGGGATGCCAGCTTTCTGGGCCCTAGCCGGGACCCAAACCAGAAGGCTGACATGGGGTCGCGCGCGCGCACGCGCCAGAGGCCGCAGAAACAGCAGCCCAAGAAGAACAGCCCGCAAGCCAGCCAGGAAACGCAAATGCAACAAAACGCCGTAAATACGCGCGCGCGCACGCGCCAGAAGGCCCGAAAACCATCGCGAAAAAAGCAAGGACCGCGCAGCACGCGAGCCAGCCACAGCAAAAGCAAAACGGACCGAACAACAGCCCACCGCTCAGCACAGCAGTTTTTGACGGTATTTACAGCGTTTTGTAGAGGAGGACCCAGCATCGCCGGCCAAAATGCGCGAAAATGAGCCTCGCTTACACCCCTCCGACACCTTCTCAAAAACAGTGCTTTTTGGGCTGAGAGGCTTTTTGGAAGGAAGTCTTGATGATGCAGACCAAGCCCCGCTGAAGCATCACCCAGGCCCAACCCCAGACCCTGATGATGTCAGCCACATGGCCTAAACCCTGCATATACGCGATGTTTTGCGAGGGTTTCCCACAGGCAAGCAAAACCGCAAGCCCGAGCTGGTGATGCAGAGGTGCCGGATTTAGGCAGGGCGTCACGACCAAGTGGCGAGGGTCGGCGGCACCAGGGTGCACCCCCTATAGCGGCGACATGCTAATCCAAGGAGGTGTAGCCGGATTTCCGCCGCCCCCGCGGGGTTACTGTCCTGTATGTTGGCCTTTGAGGTGGACTCCGGGGTCTGTGGATGCTTTGGCCGGCTTTGGTAGGCTCTTGGTTCCTTTTTGGGCAGCGTTCCTTTGCCTTTTTTTGGACTTTCCGGTACGGGGTCTGCGGATATTCGGGCTGCCCTTTGGTATTGGTCCTTTTTTTTGTTGGGGGACTTGCCTGTATACTGGTATCTTTTTTCTCTTTTTTTCGACGTTCCTGCATGTTGGTGTTTGAGGTAGATCCCGGGGTCTGCGGATACTCGGGCTGCCCTTGGTAGTGTTTCTTTTGTGTTTTTGGGGGACCGTCTGTATGTCGGTGTGTGAGGTAGACCCCGAACTCTGCGGATACTCGGGCCACTGCTGGCTTCTTTGTTTTTGTGTTCGGGGGGACTGACCCCGAACGCTGCGGACACTCGGGCCACTGCTGGCTTCTTTGTTTTTGTGTTCGGGGGGACCTCGCAAGCCACTACCAACAGCAGCCCGAGAATCCGCAGACCCCGGAGACCAAAATACAGGAAAGTCCCCCCCAATAAAAGAAACACTACCAAAGGCAGCCCGAGCATCTGCAGACCCAAGGGCTACCTCACAAACCAACATACAAGACTTCCTTTTCTTGCGACGTTCCTGTATGTGCTTGTGGTTGGGTTTCTTTCCTTTGTTTGGGGACTTCCTTCCTAAAAAAGGACACAGACAGACACACACACACAGACACATCGGAGTTTTGCGCCTGTCCGATGCGCCACGGCGGGGCGCTTCGAGATTGCGGAGCTGCTGGCTCATGGTCAGACCGTGTTTGTCGGTCTGAGAGCCCCAGTTAAAAGCCGTGCCCTCAATCGTTCCCCAGCGGAAAGTTATTGGGTCGAAAGGCCCAAATAGGCGCTGGGGTGGTTTGGAGGCTTCATTCTGTTTCCCGAAAAGCTGGTCGGAAAGTTCTTTGTTTGGAAAATCCAACTAAAGGGTGCTGCTTTGAGTGTGTTGAGGTTGAAACAGCGAAGAGAAATTAAGACATCCAACCACAAAGTCAGAGACCCAAATGTCAGACATCACCGCGCAAAGAGTCAGACATCACTGCGCGAAGAGTCAGACATCGCAGCACGGAGAGTCAGACATCATAGCCGCCGACACCCGCCGCCCGCCGTGCGTCAAGATCACAACTTGCCACCCGACACCATGTCTGTTAGCTTGCCTTCCTGTGTGACTGCTTGTCTGCTTTTCTTTCTCCTGCCTGGTGCCTGTCTGCGC